AATAAAAGAACGTCTGGAGACATCACAATCCCTGACTTTGAACTCTACTACAGAGCTACAGTACTGAAAACAGCCTGGTATTGGCATAAGAACATACAGGAGAACCAATGGAAGGGAATAAAAGACCTAGATAACAATCCACACATCTTCGAACACCTGATCTTTGATAAAGAAGCAAAAAATATCAAATGGAGGGGCTGGAGAGATGGCTCAGAGGTTAAGAGCACTAGCTGCTCTTCCAGAGGACCTGAGTTCAATTCCCAGCACCCACATGGTGGCTCACAGCCATCTGTAATGAGATCTGGTACTGTATCCTGGAAAGTGTATATATAATAAATTAATTAATTAAAAAATATCAAATGGAAAAGGAAAGCATATTTAACACGTGGTACTGGCATAACTGGATATCAACATGTAGAAGAATGAAAATAGACCCATATCTATCACCATGCACAAAACTCAAATAGATCAAAGACCTCAACATCAGAGGTCTGATCTCCAAAATATACAAAGAACTCAAGAAATTGCACACCAAAAGATCACAAAATCCAATAAAAATGGGGTACAGACCTAAACAGAGAACTCTCAACAGAGGAATCTAAAATGACTGAAAGACACTTAAGGAAATGTTCAACATCCTTAGTCGTCAGAGAAATGCAAATCAAAACAACTCTGAGATTCCATCTTACACCTGTAAGAATGGCCAAGATCAAAAACACTGATGACCACTTATGCTGGAGAGGTTGTGGGGAAAAGGGAACACTTCTGCGTTGCTGGTGGAAATGCAAGCTGGTACAGCCCCTTTGGATGTCAGTGTGGCAATTTCTCAAAAAATTAGGAAACAACCACCTCCATCCAGGAGTTCATCCCTTCCTGACGGCATCCTCTCTGCCGTCCTCTGCCTCACCCTCCACACTAATGTCCTCAGTGATTGTCCTAAAACACAGGTCTGAGATGGAGAGCAGGGACACTGCCCTCTGTTGCACAAAACCTGGGTTTGATCTCCAGCAGCACGTAAACAGGGTGTGACAAATTCTGCCATCCCAGCATCCAGGCCAAAGCAGGAGATCAGAGTTCCTGGCCATCTTCCAGCCTCCAAGTTCAAGATAAGCCCCAGCTGCACAAGACCCTGAGTCAAAATAACAAAACCATGAAACAGCCAGGCATTCTGGGCGCACACCTTTAATCCCAGGACTCAGGAGGCAGAGGCAGGGGCATCTCTGTGAGTTTGGAGGTCAGTGTGATCTACGGAGTGAATTAGTTCCAGAACAGTCAGAGCTGTTATGCAGAGAAACCCTGTCTCGAAAAACAAAACAAATAAAACAGAAAGTTAACATGAAGGATCTGCGGACAGAGCTCAGTGTTGCACACTAGCCTCAGATGTCACATAAGCGCTCCAACACCGAGCTGCCCCACGCTCCCAGGAACTCTGATCGTTAACTACGGCAGTATCTCTCCTGCCCTGGCTTTATACACAAACACCATGTTCCTTTAGATGTTCCTCATCACTGAACAATAAACTGTCTCTCGGGAGACTGGGAACTTCCCGTCTTTCTCTGCTCCTAGTCTGAAGTAGACATTCTGAGCATCAGGTGGTAGCGTATGCTATAATCTCAGTGACAGGAGGCAGAGGCCGGAGCGGCCCAAGTCCTGGGACAGCCTAGGTTATAGCAAGTCAGGGCCAGTTGGGGCATGTGAGACTTTGTTTAAGGGAAGGAAAAGAAAGAGGGTTGGCCGTGGTGGCACAGGTCTTTAACCGAGCACTCAGGAGACAGAAACTGGTGGATCTGTGTGAGTTTGAGGCCAGCCAGGGTTATGCAATGAGAACCTGTCTCAAAAAGAAATGAGAGAGCAGACAGACAGACAGACAGACAGACAGACAGACAGACAGACAGCAAATTGACTCAGCCGGTAAAGGTGTGTGATGATGACCTAGTTCAATCCCCACGACCAACGTGTTGGAATGTAACTGAGCCCACAAATACCCTCGGACACATGTACCCCACCACCGCACGCACATGCGCACACACACACGTGTTAAACTAAAAACAGTAGCGATGCACCGTTTCAATTCTTCGAGGGACTGATTGTTGTGTGTATAAAGATAAGGGAGCCAAGAGAAGGCCCCAAAAGACTCCCTGTCACTGCTATTTATAAATTGAAAATTTATATACAAAATGACCCCATGCATTTGCTTTCTGTCCATTTTTGGAATTATAGGCCATTACAGGAAGAAAGAATTTTAGATTTTGCCTGGCCTAATTTCTCATTTAATAAAGGACATGAGAGGTCAATTTTTGCTCCAAGTCATGCAAACCCAGTGTTCTCTCTTTTTTTATTTTTCAGAAGGACAGATGTGAAAGTGTTCTCCTTTTTTTTTTTTTTTTTTTTTTTTTTTTTTTTTTTTTTTTTTTTT